GGCCCGATCTTCACGAAATTTAGAATGTAGGTGGGGTTAAGGTCAGAATAGAACCCTATTTCTTTTGGAGATGATCGCATAATATTTAGGGGTTGAAATGGACCAAAAACTGAAAAAATTCCTGATTTTGCAGTTGCTCTACAGGTCGCAAATATAGACCAAACGACGCGGAATTGCGCATGTAGCTAGAGTTTAGGGCGGGGAAGAAGCCTACCAATTTGGGTGGTCATCGGATAATATTTAGTGGGTAAAATAGACCATATCTTTTGTATTGAAAAAAATCAAAATTTTTCATTAAACCGCGAATATTTTAAATCCCGGCGAAATCAAAAGCCATGACAAGGTTACCTCTGATCTTTACATTGATGTTAACATCCATCAAATCGGATATATAGCAAAATATGTGCGATATATATGTCTATCAAAGAAGATATGCTTGAAAGATCTCTTATATGTCGAGAACGGCTGAACTGATTTCGACAGTTCTCATTAATTCAGAATGCCCTTTTGGCAGGAAAGAAAAAACGTCTAAAAAATCGCATAAAAATATCTCTCTAAAGATGAAAATATTGATTTTGTAAAATTTTCTCATATTTTTTTCAATTTTGTCACATTTTTGGCATATTTTCATTTTGAATTAAACATTTGGTAATATTTCTACAGCTAACAAAACTAAGTAGTTAGGATATCAGGATATCATATACAGATCGCATTTATGGCCCGATCCTTATGAAATTTTGCATGGGGATAAGATGAGGGTCAGAATAGAAGCCTACTCTTTTTGGAGATAATCGCCATATATTTAGGGGTTGAAATGGACAAAAAAACTGCAAAATTTTCAGCAGGTCGTAATTATCGCCCGATCCTCACGCGCATTTGAATGGAGGTTACCGGACATTGCAAAAGCCAAATAGTTTTGGATGGCCATCCAAAAATATTCAATGTGTGAAATAGTTTGCCAACTTTTGTAGACAAAATACGAAAATATCCATTCCAGTGACTTTTTGGTGAATTCACAAATACAGGAAAGACGCACTTCTGACTATTTCGTTAAGGCTGATTTCGTTGAAGAATATAGTCAAATGTCTGTATCTCACATAAATGCGTTTAAGTCAAAAACCAATAATAAATCTTAATCTTTTGCCACTTCTGAGAGATTATAGGTCTTTGGGAAATATTGGTTCCAGATCTAGGAAGACCATTTACGTGCAACATCTACCAATAAATTGGAAATGAGCAAATTACTTTAAGTTGCTATTATTCGAAAATTAGAGAACGAAACCTGATGGTTTTCTTTTATTATTTGTCACAATATCTTGTGGAATTCTTTCGAGTATATGGCCTATATAAACTGTATCATTTATTATAGTGTTGTAGGGTATTCAACGGTCGGCCCCGCTCGACTGTAGCCTTTGCTTACTTGTTTTTAATGTTTTTCCTTTTTATTCGACCTTTTATGTGAGACCAATTTGTCCATCAATAGAACTGTGCAAATATATAGTAAAGATTTTTTTATATATCTTTCATATATAAATATTTCAAAGAATGAAACAACAATATGAAAACAAAATTAATTCTCCAACCTCGTCAATGATAGCAACATGTATTTCCATACATATATGTATACCGTTTTGAACCTGTACTTTCATATTTGTAGTACCGTTTCGTTCGCCTTTTATTGGACAACAAAGTTTCGGTTTTCAATGCCGCAAGAATTTAAAATGTTAAGGGCATTCAGTTGCTACGAAAAGGCTCACGTTAATGGCATGAAGAGGAAATGAAAATAAAAGACGGGACTTATGTATTTAAATAAAATAACTTAAGAATTTTTATACAGCGACACATCTCTTTTTAAAGTTCACAAAATATAAAGGACGAGCCATTGGTGTCATAGGTGGACAGTGGCTACATGGTCTCACATAAACCATCTTTTGTCTTCTTTGTTCGTTCGCCAGTTTCTCCCCATGGGGATTTACATATGTGTAATTCAATTTGAGGGGGATGAAAGGGGAAGTGGAGGTAGATGTGGACAGTTCCAACAATGAAATTGTTCAATTCATCGAATGCGATAATTTTCATGGGTATTTTAACAAAGTAAATTGAATCAACGGTTCTTAAGTAATGCGATAAACAGTTAAAGGAAATATTTGCAGCGGGTAACAGTTGTATGCAACATGTGTTAGTTTAAGGGAAACTCGTAAAAGAGATTAGGCTTTCTAACGAGTTACAAAAATAGACAATTGATTGGGATAAGATTCCTTGGAACCCACATGTATATTTTAGATATATATTATTTTCAACAATATTGCAGATAGAAATATAACGAATATTTTGGTCGAACATCGAAAACCTCAAGCGAGCCTTTTCCAAAATATGGTTAATAACTTAAATTAAATCTTTTACAATCCAATTTAATTCATTATTTAAAAAATTTTAAAAATATTCAAAATGTTCTACAAAATTATTTGGCATAAAATTCTACTATAGGTCCCAGAAGGAGTCAAAAGTCTAGATTTTACCTAAAAATACCGTTTTTGCGAATTTGTGCAAAAGTCTCCAGTAAAGCATCATTTTAGAAAAATGACGTCAAAGACAAAAATATTCTTCATCAAATTTTACTATAATTCGCCTAAGAAAATTTACCTCTATTTCTGCGGCACATCAACAAAATAATTGCATCAATGTTCCAAAAAAAAAAAAAAAAAAAAGATTTTTTTTTGATTAATTTTTTCTCGGACTTTTTTCGAGTTGACACCTGAAAGGCACATAAAATTTCGCTTTAGGAAAAGGTGTGAAAAGAAGAAAAAGTTTACACAAAATATTACTTAAAATCTTAGTATAAACCATAAATCTAGATGCAATGGCTTTTTTGAAAATGATATCCAAAACCTCGGCTGGGAAAATGGACAATATCGCACCACTGCATCCAGAACCTTCCCACAAAGTATCAAAATTTCGAATGATTATAACTCATCTATAATTTGAAATAACAGTCCGATTGCCTTCAAATTTCTCTCATCAAGATATTTTTGTTAACAAAATAATACTCTAAGATAATACTCTATACTCTTTCTGGTACCTCCCCCGCAACGGGTCAAAATTTTGAATAACCATAAAGCACGCAAAACTCTAAATTAGCATTAGATTCCTTTGAAATTCGCCACCCCCAATATTTCTATCAACACAAAATCTGTTGTGAAGATGGTAGATATCGGTCTATTCCTTCTAGTACCCGTTCCACAAAGGATCAAAATTTAGATTAACCAAAACGATCATAAAAAGCGAACTGAGCGTCCAATACTCTTAAAATTTCACACATCCCAATATTTTTACTAAAAGAAAATTTGGTTTGAAGATTGAATATGTATAGGATCACTACCCACTACAACGGGTCAGAATTTGGAATAGCCCAAACTCGCATAAAATGCGAATTAAGCTTATTCTCTGTTCCAATGATTCTGGATGTAATGTTAAGATCTCTATCAAAATTAAAAGCATTATCCTAAATATTGAGAAATATATCCCAAACTATGGGGGTTCCTCTGTGTATATGGTCGAATATATATGAGGGCCTCAAAAACATTTGACCGAAGGCCCAGAACTCCTGTGGGGTTTTGAGTGTGAAAACAGTGAAATTATAAGAGAATTTACAGCGAATTAGGAAATTCGATTTTTTTTAAATTTATGAAGGTAATCTCATTTCCGCCTTCTATACTGAATGTACCATTGTGGCGTATGCGTAGTTTCTCATACGCAACGTAGCACAGTGCGGTTAGATTCAAAATTAAGATACATAAATGTCATTTATTTTACTCAGATGTGTGTTGGGTTTGCAGGACTTTCGGTATTGGAAATGGGCTATATAGGTCCATGTTTTGGTGTAACCCCATATAACTGTACCCCCAAATATTCGGTATTTTGATTTTTTGTGTCACACTTTTCATCAGAAATGATTCAAATTTGGAAGTTGAAGTTACTAGTGGATACTACATTCTATGATTCCCACACAGCGGTAAATCCATATATTCAGCATTTTTCTTATTACTGAATAGTTTCAAATTTCGTAATGATAGATCGTAATGGGTATGACAATTTATGACAGAAAAATTGTCTATGCAGGTCCCATACAACGATACCTTCCTATATTTGGTGTTTTTATTATTTTAGCGACATAATTTACCGGATCTGTTTCAAATTTCGTATTTGAAGTTCGTAATGGGTACTACAGTCTGTGATAGAAAATTGCAAGTTCACGTCTTCGTATAGCCCCATACAATGGTACCTCCCTATATGCGGTATTTCAATGATTTTACCGAAATTATTCAACGGAATTGTTTCAAGTTGTGTATTTGAATATCGTAGTGACATATGACAAAAATTTTAAAGACAGGTCCACGTCTTTGAAAACCCCCCCCCCCCCCCAGAGGTACCTCCCTTAATTCAGTATTTTTATAATTTAAACCGTATTTTTTTACTTCATCAAAATTTGAAAAGTTTTTTAAAACGGCGGAGGATAATCAAATATCGGCCCGGCCGAAATTACAGCTTGTTTACTTGTTTTCATTTCATTGTTACTTCTTTTTATTTTTTAGAAGACGACACTCAAGCAGCATGGCATATTTAGTAACATATTATAAAGGGATGTCACTATCTTCGTGTCTTGTCTTCTGTAAGTTGCGTAATTTGAAATGTATTAGGTCCGTAGTTTTCATTAACGAATTGAACAGTTTCACCCAACCACCAAAAAAAAAAAAAAAAAAAAATCTAAATCTTAAAATCTTTAAGAAGTTCTAATTGATATTTACGGTTTCTGCACCTGGAACATTAATAATTTTGACTTTCTAAGTATTCGGTACGGATACGTTTTTTAATGTTTCATTTTTTAAATCCTTTCATTTTCACATTAAAGACAATACCTGAGTGTTGCTTAATGTGAGCACCTACCTTACGGTCTATAACATTAAAGACAATATAGAAAATTATATAATTCGCTAACTTACCATTTTTATAGGTGATGTTGCTGTTGTTGTTTTTGCTGATCTTGTTGCCGTTGCTAGCCGCCACACTATTTGAACTGTGATTACTGTTCCCACTAGAAATGCTGCTGGCGCAGCTGCTGTTGCTGTTGCGACGATGCTTGTCTTTTGTTGTCATCTCCACCAGTGACTGGGCCGCCGACCACTCGAGGCGTTCGCACAACTTCACATCATCTTCGTCACTGATTAACGTAACACATTCGTTGTTCGTGGCCCGCGGCGAGAAAGCCACCAAAGGCGGTGGTGGCAAATTGTTAGCCAAAGATTGATGTGAGGAATTTTTATTAATGCTGTCGTTAACCACAATGCCGCCATTTGTTGTGCGGCCACCGTTGCTATTGCTATTCGCCGTGGTATTCTCGCCTGCACCAGCAGCAGCAGTAGCACCTAGACGCCGAGGGTTGTACAAATCCGTGGATTTTTTAACAATGTAAATGGTGGCGGTTTGTTGTAATTGCTGGCTTCTTGGCTGCTGCTCGAGCTGTAAATCTTGTTGATGTTGAACGGCCAATGGCTGTTGCTGTTGCTGCTGTTGATGTTGACGTTTTGCATTTTGTGTTCCTCGTCGACCACTTTGGCTAACAACGAAGTTTGACTGGTGTGATTGAGGCGAACGTTGCTGGAGGTGTTGCAGTTGAGGGTTCGCAATGATGGCCGTTGGATATGGCACTGTTGTTGTTGCTGTTGCTGCTGTGGAGACGGTAAAGGTGGCATTGGTCGTTGGCGTGTATGCTGATGCCGCAGAATTCTTGGCTAACACTATTTTACTCGTAGCCGGCATACACTCCACAGACATTTTTGTGGTATTGACCCTTTTTGTGTTCAATTCCTTTATCCTTTCCTTAGACGGGACGGTGTTGTTTCACTTCGGTTTGGTGGCACCGTTTCTCTTTATTCCGGAGAACAGAATTATTTCCAACTTCTTTTGAAAGGGTCATGAATGGAATAACCTTTTTTGGTGTTTATCTTTAGATGCCGTTCTTTGTCCAACGTGCTGTTGTCCACTCAACAAATTCTGTCATACTTGGCTGGTGTTCTTTTCGATTCCATTAAAATTGGCTGCTCGTCGAGGGGACTCGTTTCAAACACTGAGAGATAATTCTTCCATTGAAGGTTTTCAAAGCTTTGCTTTCAACAAAAGATTCAATTTATAAAAAGAAGGAGAAACAGAAAACGTAAAAGTCTTGAAGTAGTCGCTCCTTTTTACAAGAATTGTTGCTTCTTTTATTTTTTTCAAAAATGTTTCACAGATTAAGGTATTGCTTTCGTTGTTCTCGTTGACATGGGGTATGTATTTTGTTTTATCCGTTTTGTTTTTTGTTATAATTTTTCTTAAAATATTTTCTTTTGGTTTTTTGTTTGTTTTCAAAATAATTGGCTTTGAAATTGATTTTGGTATTTTTGTGTGACTTAGCAGCAGAGTGTTGCTATGTTGATTTCATTTTTTTGGTTCTTATCTGAAACAATATCGAATGTAAACAGAGTTTGCAATTAGTTTTTTGTTGCTGTTGTTGTTATTGTTTGAATCCACAAATATGAAATTTGTAATTACTGATGTGTCAGGATTTTGCAGATAAATCACAGTGAGTTGGAAGCATATTTTACATGTGGTGAAGTTAAATTTAAGATTGCCACAGATGTTCAGGGTCAGGGCTATATGGAGTTAGATTTTTTAGTTGTTAAAAATATTTTCTGGAATCATGGAATTCCAGGAGAAAATGATTAATGGAACTCATTTTCACAAAACATCCATAAAAAGGTATTTTCTGCTTATTGGTCTATTCCAGAACTGCAAGAATGTAAAAGATTTTACACGAAAACCTATTATTCCTTTATGATAAAATAAAAAAAAAAATTAGCAGATTCTAATATATGAATTAATAAGGCCCTTGACGCATTTTCCAACTACAAATAATTTTCTTTCTTATTTTAATAAAGACCAACAGCTGTTAAAATTATTCCAGTTACAGCTCATTATATTGTTTACAAGCGTACAAAAGCATTTTGGTGAGAAATTTCCAGAAAAAACCTTATTCGTGATGGAATTCAAGCGTGATAGTGTGATTTCTTTATATTCGGCTGGAAAACTACAAGTGGCTATCGCTAGAGCACTCCAGCATTTAAATGTGAATAAATCTTTTGTGTCTCGTACCATTGCTCATTACCATGGTAGCGTAGCCTGACGTCAAAGAAGTGGACGGAAGAAAACAGCAACATCAGCAGAAATGGTTCCAAAAGTAAAGAAGCAACTTGATTGAAACCCGCGTCGCAGTGGCCGAAAAATGGCTCGTAAGCTGAACATATCACAATATTCCATTCGCAAATATTGAAAATGAGCTCGAGGTAATGTCATTAAAATTCCAAAAAGTGCAAGAACTTACACCGCAACACAAAGAAGATAGACTCAAAAGAGCTAAAGAGTTGCTTCGCTTGGCCGAAAGTAGTGAACTGTTGAATTTGGTTTTCTCCGATGAGAAAACATTCGTTGTCCTGCAGTTTATAAACAGTAACTAGTTAAAAAGCAGTAAAGGTAAAAGTACATAAGAAGCTGAAAGTCATGGCTAGGTATATTTTGTGACATTTCACAAAGGGATTACAGAGTCGCACTAAAATCCTGCCGTCGTTTTCCATTCTACTTTGACATTAATATGCCTAGCCATGGTTTCAAGCTTTTTATGTACTTGTGTCCATGGTACAATGAAGACAAGGTAGGCTAACTTTGAAAAAATTTCAAGTATAGAGGTCTACCTGTTTGGCTTGTTATGTCAGAATTACTATCAAAACAATAAAAAAACAAACAACTTGTTGCATTGATTTTAAATAAATAATTTAAAACCGGGAAAAATGAATGAAAGGTCAAAATTTCTTTTCAAAACCATGTTCTGTATATTTCTTATGGCTTGTTTCGTGACAAAAACTGTAGATTTTATCGATGCATACGTTGCAATAAGCATTTTGAAAACACCCGAATTTGAATATTTTCTGAAAATTTTTTTATTATTGAAAAGAATACACATACATAAACAAACGAAGTTGACATATTAAGCCAGAGAAATAAAAAAATTAAAATCATATGGTAGTTCTGCCCTACCTTGAATTCATTGTACCATGCTTGTACCCATGATACAATGATATCAAGGTAGGGCTATGATAACATATGATTTTAATTTTTTTTATTTTCTTGGCTTAATATGTCATCTTTATTTGTTTATGTATGTGTTTCCTTTTCAATAACACAAAAATTGTTCAGAAAATATTAAAATTCGGGTGTTTTCAAAATGTTTATTTCAACGTATGCATCGACAAAATCTAGAGTTTTTGTAGCGAAATAATCCTTTAGAAATATATAGAACCTGGTTTTGAAAAGAAGTGTTGACCTTTCATTCAGTTTTCGCGGATTTCAATTATTTATTCAAAATAAATGCAACAAGTTGTTTGATTTTTTATTGTTTTGATACTAATTCTGACATTACAAGCCAAACAGGTAGACCTCTATACTTGCAATTTTTTTAAAGTTGACCTACCTTCTCTTCATTGTACCATGCTTGTACCCTAAGTTCGAACTTTTAATGCCCTCCACCATTTGAACGAATTTGGAAATTTTCAAAAAATAAAATCCGTTAAAAATTCTGTCAAAATCCTACAAATATCGAATATAAATGGGGCCTATACGAAGACCTGGACATGCATAACCAACTTTCTGTCATAGGCTGTAGCATCCATTACGAACTTGAAATACCAAATTTGAAACAATTCCGGTGAACAATGTCGCTAAAATCATCAAAACACCGAATATCGGGATGTACCATTATATGGGGGCTATACGAAGACGTGGACCTGTACAGTCAATTTTCAGTCTTAGACTGAAGTATCCCTTTGGAGCTTCAAGTACCAAATTTGAAACAATTCCGGTGAATAATGTCGCTAAAATCATCAAAATACCGAATATCGGGAGGTACAGTTATATGGGGGAACGTTGACCTTCATGGAGGGTATAAAAATGATCGTGTTTGCTTGCCAAATAGGTCAGCTGAAAATGTGCACCTTCGGTCGGCCACCAGAACTCAAGCGACGGCCATGGTGATGGTGTGGGCCGCCATAACAGCCGATGGTCGCTCAGCTCTCGTATTAATCGACCGTGGCATCAGAATAAATGCCGAATATTATCGCCAAAATATTCTGGAGGATGTATTAAAGCCTTGGGCACGCAAACATTTTGGCCGTAGACCTTGGACATTCCAACAGGACCATCGCGCTCAGCATGGGCCACCCAGGAATTGTTACAAAATCAGGTTCCTCGCTTCATTTCCAGTGCACATTGGCCACCAAAATCTCCGGATACCAGTCCGTTGGACTATTGTGTCTGGAGTATTTTGGAAAGCAAGCTCTTCGGCGGGAATGGGCCAAAATGACGCAGAGCAACATTCGGCCAGCGTGTGACGTTTTCATTGGCCGTTTGAAGGCCATAATTCGTGCCAGAGGTGACCAATTCGAACAAATCTAAACTTATTCTAAAATTTGATGCAATTTCCGACATTTAAAAAAAAAATTAAAAAAAATGTAAATTCTGTGGCGTTTGACTTTGTTGCAGTTTGTTTATCTCACCCTGTATTGGTATATGTGGTCTACATAAATGTACACGTACATTAGTACGATCATATAGTGTCAGAACTTTCGAACTTTTTTTTTTTTTTTGTAAGAAAATAGACAAAACATTGAAATTTTACCAAACAGTTATTGACATTTTCACCCTCGATTGCATTATTTATTTCCAAAACTGAGATCGATTAAATATTCCGGTAAATAACAAAAATACAATAAAAAGTGAACAACAACTACAACTAACATGAGTCGCTTCAAACATGTGAACAGTCATAAGGAGTATGGAGATGAAGAGTATGATTTTGAAGAAGCATAAGGAGTATGGAGGCGGAGAGTATGATTTTCGAAATTTGTGGGCGAAGGTAACGAAAACCTTTCAATCGGTTTTCCTTTCAAGGCCTGTAAGCAAATGTCTTTTGAAGGCAATTTACGTTTGATTATTTTCCAGTTTGTGTGAAAGCCAAACGGAGGATGTTGTTTCACCATAGAAGTTTTAATTGAATTTTTAACGAAGCCGCCCCAACATTAACAGTAATATACAATGACCGAACAAACGAATGTTAGCCATTGTGGCAACAGCATGGAGTCCACTACAACCATTCCCACTCTCAATCCCGGTGATGGCAGCAACAGTCATGGGCAACAATTTGCCTTTTTCAAGTTATTCCATGCAACATGCGCTGCGAATATACATGTGCGAGCAGTGGTTCTATAATAAAGTATGTGGAAGTGTTGGTGCGTTTGTGTACTTGTTTGGTCTGTGGCCACCTGTCAGAATATTTTGAACTCATATGAATAAACAGTGGTTTGAGTTTACATCGTTGTTGGGTGGTTACGATTTCAAAATACACACACACAAAGAACGGAATAGTAGGTGTTAATAGAATGTGAGAGGTGTCATAATTAGAAGAGAATGTCATTGCACGAAAATGTTGTTTTATGTTTAGTAAAAAGTAGTAATAAGCAAATAAAAAAGCAGATAAGTTCGGCCGGTCCAAACTTTTAATATCATTTGAAGGAACTTGAAAAAATTTACAAAAAATTTCCCTCAAAAAAAAAAAAAAACTTTTCTGATGAAGGCGTGGTCTTGAATATGTAATTTTTTGTAATAGGCTGAAGTACCGATTCCGAACTTTAAATACGAAATTTGAAACAATTCCGGTGGAAATCGGGATGTATTGCATATGGAGGCTATATGAAGACGGGGACAAGCATACACGATTTTTTTTGATAGGTTGTAGTATCCATCATGAACTTCAAATACGAAATTTGAAACAATTCCATTAAAAAATGTACCAAAATCAAAATACCTAATATTGGCAGGTACAGTTATATGAGGGATATACGAAAATGTGGACGTACAGGGCCTATTTACGAACTTAACCAGCCTACTGGCAAAATACACATCTCAATTCATTTTTACGTTGATCAAAAAATGTTACAAACGGAGTTAAAGAGTTAATATACCCTCCATAGAATGGTGCAGGGTATAAAAATAAGAAACTCTCATTAGGAAAGCCGTTTCAAAGGGTTGTGAACGTATCAGGAATTAGTTTGGTTTTAAACTTAAAAAATGGTTTATAAAAGTTGTGATTTGGTAAGCTTCTCCCCTTTCCTTCCCGCTTTCGAAGTTTATTCGTTATAAAAGCAGAATGTTAAAGACTTCACCACATAGATTCGATGAACTATTGTTTGATTGTGTTGATTTATAGTGAATATCTTTACGTTGGAATATATAGCACATTTACTGGTCTATTCAACTTTTGAAATGCACTGTACCGTACAACAGAACTCTCCGTCAACAATTCGTATAAGTTTGTGTACAGTGATTTGACTTTAAATTAAA